AGCCCAGCGCCTCGCCCAGGCCCGTGCTGGAGCTCTTGGGCAGCGACATGGGGGTGGCGGCCGTGTGGATGATGAGCGGTGGCAACAAGCTCTTGTGCAGCTCCGGGTGCTGTCCCAGGGACACCACTGCACAGGGATGAGAGGACGAGAGCCTGAGTCCACTCAGGGCTGGCCGAGGGCCAGGGCCGGGGCCGCTAGGATAGGTACTCACGGGCCAAGCGTTTCTTCCTGTCCCCGCTGCCATCCACGCTGGGTGAGAAGAAATCGGGTTCAGACTCAGACTTGGTGGCATCTCCCTAGGGTTGGGGAGCAGTAGGTAGTCAGGCTCTTGGCCAGGTGGGGTCACCGAGGTGGACCGAGGACTCCCTCTCTTCACACGAACACACCACATAGAGGCCACAGGACCAGCAACCACGGCACGAGGCATGCACCGGTGTGGGCCACACCACCCAGGCTCAGGGCCCACGGCGTCACACTTCAGAACGGGCCACGCCTCATCCGACCCCACTGCACAGCCAGCCTGGCTAGACTGGCACCGCAGCTGACTTCGGGAAGAAGGGGTGAGCGGGCAGGCAGGTGGCACAGGCCTGAGGAGCTGGGTCCTGGGTGAAGTAGTCATGAAAACCTCAATTCTGAAAAACCACAGGAGGGTCCTGCCTTCTTCTGTCCCACCCGTCACGAGCCTTGGACCCAAAGACCCCAGAAGGAAACCAAAAGATCCCGGCCACTGCAGCTCAGCCATGGATGCCACTTGAGACCCTCCGCTTCTGCCCCCACCTTCTCTGGCCCTGTTCTTATTTCTCTCCTTGTCTCTAGGATAGTTTTTTCTCCCTCCTTAGCAGGTCAGTAGGTTCCCCAGTAATTATACACTTCTCCTTAAGAAGTTATTAAAAAATACTTGATTGCTACTTTTGATAAGGACATAAATATTGGGTAATTGGCATCTCAGGGGATCATTTTTATTAACTCAGTTTACATCCCTAACGAGGCCTTTAATTATCAAGTGGGATCTCCAGGGGGCTTCTTGGGATGTGCAGCATCAGGGGGTTCCAAGGGGATCCTGGCTTGGCCCCAGATTCCAGTGCCGGTGCAGGAAGAGCAGGGCACAGGCTTAGTGTGGGGGCTGAGGAGGAGATGCTTGAAGGGCCTGTGGGGACTCCAGAAATTTGGGGGTGGATTAAAATTCTGGTCCATTGGTTCTCACCTCTTCCAATGGACTTGCCCTGAGCTGAGGCAGCTCGTAGGGTCTCCAATGGGGTCCCAGAGCAAGGGGTGAAAGTGCGAGGATGTGGCAGTATGTTCCGTAGCTGCGGGTCTTGACCCCACTGAGCCCGGACATCTGGGGCTCTCCGGGACCCCAGTGTAGGCGCACACTCCTGGGGCGCCCCCTCACCCAAGCACACAGAGGATTCTAAGTCCTTTCCTTCTCTGGTCTGGCAGGGACAGGAAGGTGCCCTTTGTGGGTTGATGGGCCCAAGGCCAAGAGGTTCCTCCCTTCCTTGTCCTCATGGGTGGGGGCGGGACTTAAAATCTAAGCAAACCTCACGACACCAATGGCCACCACGGCTCTCACAGGCCGCACAACAGCTGAGCGTGAACGTGAGCACAGAGACACAGAGGCGGAGGAGTGGGGGACACAGGCGCGGGGGGCATGCAACTCAGGAGCGCGTACCTACCCCCTGGGAGTCGACAGGCAGCTGAATACAGCTTAACTGTCCACTCGCATCTTCCCGTTTGCTGATTTCCTACAGGGAGATGGGGAGGCGGGGAGGGCCACTGGTCACAAGCGCTCAGGCCTCTGAGAATCAGCAGTGTCCAAAGAGCAAGGAGAGAAGAGGGGTACACACCCCACAGCGGAGGAGTGAGAGGCACAGGGTGGGCAGGACGGCCTTCTGGAATTCACCTCCAGGGCCCCAGGCCAGAATGCATCTGAAGTGGGGACCCAGGCAGGGAAGTATCAAGGCCCCCACTGCTCCTAATAACGGCGCTAACATGCATGGAGGGTGTGCGGGCAGCGTGCAACTACTGCGTGGGTCACACCAGCGTGCGAAGGAGGTGGGGCCGCTGGGACCGTCTTAGGAGGAGGCACGTGAGGTCCGGAGAAGTTAATAAAACTGCCTGAATTGTGCAGAGTAAGAGGTGCTGATTGACCTTGAACCTGCACCCCCGGCTCAGGATACAGCTGCCCTGGCCCTGGCTCTGAGGCAGGGTGTGTGGGAACAGCAGGGAGGACAGGAAGGAGGAGCAGACAAAAGCCAAGATGGGGCCTGGACAAGGAGCGAAATCAGGCCTCATAATTTCTCACTCTCTCAGCCCAAGTGTCTTCAAGTCAGAACAGATCCAGCCGCTCCGAGTGGAATGGGATGTGACAGGAAACCCTGCCATGATGGCTGTGATGTTGTTTGGTATCAATTAATGGCCGCACACAGGGCCCGCTGCCTGTTCATTTAATTAAGTGTGTGGATGATAAATATACAGGAATCCAGGGCACTGCCCCCTGCAAGTCAGGAAATCAACAGCCAGGCAGGATCTGTCTCCAGGGGCCACCTCCTGCCCCTCTTGGCATGGTGGCAGGCCCAGCAGGAGGGCTATCCTTGAGGTCTCCTGCTGGCAAAGTCCAGCAAGATGGGAACAACCGCCCCCTCCACCAAGGTGGGTTGTCTTACTGGTGAAAACAAAACAAAACAAAACTCCAGGCCATCACCACAGCAAAGACAGGCTCCCCTGCCAGACCACAGGGCCTCCTGGAACCCCACAGAGGACACAGGCAGGTGGTTCTGGAGGTGTCCAGGTCCTGGGAATCGAATGACCCTGTCCCATCCATGCCACCACATGCAGAACAATGGAGCTGCAGGTCCAGGCCTTGACACGGGCACCTGGGGCCACTGTAACTGCCCGCCCCAGGGAAGGCTTGGCCTCCCGAGGCCTCTCCATCCCACTGCAGTGAACATCGCAGCCCAAGGTAGCGGGTCCTGAGAGACACTGGAAAGGGCACCTCTGCTCCCAGGGTGGAGCAGGACGTGTCCCCAGAGCCCTGGTCCACCCTCCAGCTGGGGCAGCTTGCAGGCTCCCAGCGGGGCCTGGGTAACCGGATCAGGCAGCTCTGTTCCCACACTCAGATGTCACTGCTGCCTAGCAACCAGCTGCACTCAATTTAACAAGGTGTTTCTGAAAAGGCCAAGTGGTGGGGAGGGGGCTGTCTGTGCCAGGAACCCCCGGACCGCTCTGGTGGTTGAGCAACAGCAAGGGAGCGAAATGGGCTCAGGGTGGTTTCCATGTCCCCTATAGAGGCCCACGGGGAAATTTTTGGAGGGGAGCTTAGCTGTTAGGAGCTACTGTTTGGAGGGATGCTAAGGCGACCTGCCCCCACCTGGCGCCCCTTTCTTCAGGCCACAAGCAACAGCCCTGCGAGAGGCCATGGAGACCCCAGCTGTTGAGGGAGCCCCGTGACAGCTTTCAACTCTGCAGCCCCAGGGAAACCCCAAACAAATGTCCTGTTCTGGGGAAAGCTCGATGGCCCTCCCTCCCTGCAAGAGGCCTGGCCATCACCAAAGCCTCCCCAACCCCAGATGCCCTCGCTGCCTCCCAGCAGGGAGGAAATTTGACAATGGATAACTAGAGAATTAAAACGAAAGCGGGGAGAAAGGCTGGTGTGGGACCCACGCTCTGCACCCCACCAGAACAGCCTGGCCCACAGGGATGGCCCTCCCTCATAAGGCCAAGAAGGAGTCGGAAAATAGATTTTTGTTTTTCCACCATGTGCCGGGTATTTATAGACCAGGCCGCAGCGGGAGTTTCCATCCGGGTCACCCAGAGAGAAGTGGACCAAGAGCTTCTCCAGGCCCAACCTGGAGCATTTCTAGGTTGGGTCAGCCTGTCCTGTCTGAGGCACCAGGATGCTGGCATGGGTCTGGGGACTCAGGTGGGAGGGAAGCCAGAGCTGGGGAGAGGAAGAGGTGCCACTTTTGGAGTGGAGGCTGCACCCTGGCATGGCCAGGGCAGGATCAATGTGAGTCAATATTAATTGATGACGCGGCCCGTGACGGAAGTGATGGAGCCTGGGCTGGAAATAGGACGCCCGTCTCTGCCATGCCCGCAGCTAACTGGGCTCATTTCTCACCCTGGGCAGCTCAGCCCTGCCCGGGTCCTGGCAGCATCTTCATCAGCTCAGCCTGCACTTGGATGACTCGCGCACGAGTCTCCCACGGCCCCAGCCCAGAGGGTCCTCCTGATGTCCCACAGGACACTTGCGCTCAGGGTCCCACTGCCTGGCAGGCCTGGTGCTTGATTGGTCTGGCTTTCTGGGGAAGGGTCTAGTCCACAGAGACAGAAGCCCACCTGCCACCAATCTAGAACCCAGGGACCCCACCCAACCGTCCTGTCAGCCAGGTGATAGGGACCCAGACCCAGGGGTGCTACTTGGGGAACCTCCCAGGGGACAGCAGAGCAAGGAAGGGGCCCCCCACCAGGTCAGACTGCCCGGGGGTTACCTCTGCCTGGAAGCCCTCCACCAGAATAGCCACAAGCAGATTAAAGAGCACATAGTTGCCGAAGGTCATGAGGGCGATGAAGTAAAGGGCAGCCCAGGACGAGGTGGAAGCCATGCCGTTGTAGAGGACTTTGTTCCAGTCCTCCTGGGTCAGGATCTGAGGGCAGGAGACACGAGTCAGGGCCTTAACGGGGCAGCCGATGGCTCCTGCTCACCCGCTGCCCTGCGACCCTTGAACCTGAAAGACGGTGACGATGGCCCAGAGCAGGGAGTCAAAATTCTTCCGGTCCGGCAGTGTGTCCCCGTCCCGCTCAGACGCAAACTTGCAGCCGAACAGATGCATACCCAGGATGCTGGAGACAAGGGAGCCAGGGACAGGGTCAGGACCTGGCCTGCCTGGCCCCCAGCCTTCCCGACCAGCACCCAAGGGCCACTCCCCGCCCACCTAAAGATGAAGATGAACAGCATGAGCAGCATGCAGAAGGTGGCCACGTTGTCCATGGTCTTCATGAGCACCACGAGCTGCCGCTGCAGCGCCGGCAGGACGCGCACCAGCTTCAGCACCCGCATCAGGCGGAAGGTCAGCAGCACCGACACCCCTGCTGG